GAAAATGTTTAAGCTTGAAAAGGGGTCAGAACTTCTCCAAAAAAAGTGATGTATTTTGGCTAAGGTATTCAGTTAATTGTGTATATCCAATGAGAACTTCCAACTATTGTCTCTATGGTGGATTTTTTGGTAAACTATGTATAAAAATGTTGTGATTTCTGTAGATTCTGAATAATAATAACTTTCTTTTTATTTCCAAGTATACCAAAGATGGCAGAAAAACCAGAGGAAAGTGAAAGATTTGGAAGAAATATAGGCAAGTAGAATGTTTAATTGATTGTTTCTTTGTGACTTTGGAGCTTTTTTCCTAATGCTTGTAGTTTTAAGGTTTGGTTGGCTTGCTTGCTTTGCTTGTATCAATGTTTGCTCAAGCATTGTAGTTAAGATTGACATCTGCAATCAATAGATAGGCGGGGCTTCAGCTTGTATACATTATACTCTGCATTATACTTAACATCCACTAACATTTAAGTGTGAGTATAATGTATACAGGCTGAAGCCCCACCTATCTATTGATTGCAGATGTCAATCTTAATTACAATGCTTGAGCACACATTTATATAAATGAAGCAAGCAAGCCAACCAAACCTTTAAACAACAAGTATTAGGAAAATAGCCCTAATTGTATTGCTGTTTTTCATAATCAAGTTCACAGACAAGTCCTTCAACAATTAGAAAATGTTTAAGCTTGAAAAGGGGTCAGAACTTCTCCAAAAAAAGTGATGTATTTTGGCTAAGGTATTCAGTTAATTGTGTATATCCAATGACAACTTCCAACTCTTGTCTCTATGGTGGAAACTTGGTAAACTATGTATAAAAATGTTGTGATTTCTGTAGATTCTGAATAATAATAACTTTCTTTTTATTTCCAAGTATACCAAAGATGGCAGAAAAACCAGAGGAAAGTGAAAGATTTGGAAGAAATATAGGCAAGTAGAATGTTTAATTGATTGTTTCTTTGTGACTTTGGAGCTTTTTTCCTAATGCTTGTAGTTTTTAGGTTTGGTTGGCTTAATTGCTTTGCTTGTATAAATGTTTGCTCAAGCATTGTAGTTAAGATTGACATCTGCAATCAATAGATAGGCGAGGCTTCAGCTTGTTTACATTATACTCTGCATTATACTTAACATCCACTAACATTTAAGTATGAGTATAATGTATACAGGCTGAAGCCCCACCTATCTATTGATTGCAGATGTCAATCTTAATTACAATGCTCTAGCAAACATTTATACAAATGAAGCAAGCAAGCCAACCAAACCTTTAAGCAAAAAGCATTAGGAAAATAGCCCTAATTGTATTGCTGTTTTTCATAATCAAGTTCACAGACAAGTCCTTCAACAATTAGAAAATGTTTAAGCTTGAAAAGGGTTCAGAACTTCTCCAAAAAAAGTGATGTATTTTGGCTAAGGTATTCAGTTAATTGTGTATATCCAATGACAACTTCCAACTATTGTCTCTATGGTGGATTTTTTGGTAAACTATGTATAAAAATGTTGTGATTTCTGTAGATTCTGAATAATAATAACTTTCTTTTTATTTCCAAGTATACCAAAGATGGCAGAAAAACCAGAGGAAAGTGAAAGATTTGGAAGAAATATAGGCAAGTAGAATGATTAATTGATTGTTTCTTTGTGACTTTGGAGCTTTTTTCCTAATGCTTGTAGTTTTAAGGTTTGGTTGGCTTGCCTGCTTTGCTTGTATAAATGTTTGCTCAAGCATTGTAGTTAAGATTGACATCTGCAATCAATAGATAGGCGGGGCTTCAGCTTGTTTATTTTATACTCTGCATTATACTTAACATCCACTAACATTTATGTGTGAGTATAATGTATACAGGCTGAAGCCCCACCTATCTATTGATTGCAGATGTCAATCTTAATTACAATGCTTGAGCAAACATTTATACAAATGAAGTAAGCAAGCCAACCAAACCTTTAAACAACAAGCTGCTGTTATTAGAACATTAGAAAATGTTTAAGCTTGAGAAGGGGTCAGACCTTCTCCAAAACAAAGTGATGTATTTTGGCAAAGGTATGCAGTAAATTGTGTATATCCAATGAGAACTTCCAACTATTGTCTTTTGTCTGTTTGTCCGTCTGTCCAGCTTTGGATTAAAGTTTTTAGTCAAGGTAGTTTTTGATGAAGTTGAAGTCCAATCAACTTGAAACTTAGTACACATGTTCCTTATAATATGATATTTTTAATTTTTATGCCAACTGAGAGTTTTGACCCCAATTTCACGGTCCAGTGAACATAGAAAATGATAGTGCAAGTGGGGTATCCGTGTACTATGGACACATTCTTGTTCATCTTGAAATAGTGGACTTTATTATTTCGGGCCAAAAAGGGCCCTTATCAGCCAACTCCTTTATACAACTGTCATGTGCAATTTGACTTTTGAATTTACATTGATGATTAAAGAATATTATTCAATTTCATTTGTATATATGAGTTATAGTTTTGTCTTTTAACTATAAAAAATGAAAAACAAGCTATAAATTTCATGCGTCCGAAGCGCTTTTCTGGATTTACCTTCATCAGAAACGCTCAATGGCAAATATTTGAAAGCCAAGGATGTGTCTGACCTTCCAACCCTTGGAACACCATAAAACATTCATATGATTGAAAGAATAAAAATAAATAAATTTAAAGAAATGTGGGGTTCCAACCCCTAAAACATCCCCTCGGGCCCCCAATGCTATACCATGAGTATTCAGTGCAATTTCATATCGAAATATTGTTTTCATAAATCACTGGGAGTTGGCCTGAAAGAAAGATTTTCTATTTCACTATGCTTTGAAATTGAAGAAATGGTTGAATTATTTCAACAATTAATTTGCTGTACATTTTTTGTCTAGTCTTGTATATATATGAAAGATACATTTAGAAAGTGACTGTTGATAAATAAATTGATTTTAAATTTCGTACCATCACAGACATGTTACTAAATAAATGTATCATACAAAAGTCTATCATCGTAGGTACGGTGTTTCAGTTGTGATGGATGTGGAGTCCTAACAGGCTGACATTTTGGGCAAGGGCAGGTAATACCCCTGTTTTACTCCTCATTTTGGAAGTTCCTTTAGTATTGGCCAATAACTAGACATTTTTATACCCCTGCTTTAAAAAAGTGAGGGTATACTGTTTTACCTCTGTCTGTCCTGCCGTCAGTCCGTCGATCAGTCCGTCCGTCCCATGAATATTTTCGTCGCATTTTTCTCAGGAACTACTTGACAAGGATTTCTGAAATTTGGTTTCAGGGTTTATATAAGTAAGTTACACCGTGTGATGCATTTTCAGATTCATCACTTAACAACTTCCTGTTTACCAAACACTTGTACTATTTTACACATGATAGCCAAGTTGAAAATTTTAGTCACATTTTTCTCAGGAACTACTGGACAAGGATTTCTGAAATTTGGTTTCAGGGTTTATATAAGTCAGCTATACCGTGTGATGCGTTTTCAGATTCATCACTCAACAACTTCCTGTTTACCGAAATATTTCGGCGGGGGTATCATTAGTGAGCAGTAGCTCACAGTTTTACTTGTTTAATTATGTTCATTTTATGTGTATAAGTATTTATATATCAGATGTCTGCTAACAAGTCTATTACTATTGTATGGAGCGTTGTAAAAAAAAACTGTAAGCAGAGATCTTTATAACAGTGTTTTAAAGGGTGGAAAAAAATTGCGGGTTACAACTAAACTTTTGGTAAAATTTCAAAATATTAGTTCTGTTTAAAAGCTCATCTCTGGTACTTAATACATCAAAGTATAATAAAATCATCATGATTGGAAAAAAGAAAGTAATGTGAGAAAAATAAATATTTTTGTGACAAACTGTATATTATTAAATGTTGTGAATGAAGTAGACATTTCAGTTATTCAAATGGACTTTAGTGGAGTCAAATATCATAAACGCCATTGAAGGCAGCCAGGATATCAGCTCCAAGGAAGATGGTTACATAGATCTTTAACCAAGTCTGATGATTTAGAATGAAAGAAATCAGGCAAGTTTATTTAAGCCATACATTATCTTTACATCCTGTCAATTTACATGTACATAAAAGTACACAAGACAACGTACAATATTATTCTTGTAATTATCTTTTTCATTTACAAAAGTTTATTTTATCTTTAAGGGGAGACAAGTGCAACAAACAAACAATGATGTTTTATTCAATGGGAGATTACTCCGACAATTTTTTGTGCAGATGGAATAAGATCTAACCTTTTTCCAACTCTTAAATTCTTTACACAGACAGGATTGATGCTATATAATTGGGTAGTAAGAAACAGAATAACTTTGATAAAATTTTAGGATGACAGTCATACTGAATTGTAAAAATATATAATTTATGTCAATTTTTGGAAATATTTTATGATGTACATGTCAGTCTCGCAGGTTTTATTTGACCTTGACCTCATTTTCACGGTTCATTTCTCAGTGTTAAGTTTTTGTGTTTTGGTCTGTTTTTCTTCAACTATAAGCAATAGAACAACTATATTTGATGTATGGAAGGATTGTAAGGTGTATATATCTGTCTGGCAGGTATCATCTGACCTTGACCTCATTTTCATGGTTCATTGGTCAATGTTAAGTTTTCATGGTTAAGTTTGTTTCTTAGATACTATAAGCAATAGGTCAATATATTTAATGCCTAAATTGATTCTAAGGTGCACATGTCTGTCTGGCATGGTTCATCTGACCTTGACCTCATTTTCATGGTTCATTGGTCAATGTTAAGATTTCTTGTTTAAAACTGTTTCTTAGAAACAATAAGAAATAGGTCAACTATGTTTGGTTTATTGAATGATTGTAAGGTGTACATGTATTTCTCGTTTGGTTTATCTGACCTTGACCTCATTTTCTTGGATCATGTTAAGTTTATGTGTTACTTGTAGTAAAGCTTTGTATTTAGGACTATCAACATAAAATCAATGGTTAGTAAAGAAGGCGAGACATTTCAGCGTGTGCACTCTTGTTATTCCTTTTAGGTTATTTCTGAGACAAGTTTCATGGTATTGGGAGTAAGACTCGGTGGCCTTATACAGCAAAGATATAAGTAGGTTTATAATTTCTTTATTTGAAACAAATATTTTCATAATAAATAAAAAAATATCCGGAAAATAATGTGCCCTGAGGATTGAAAAAAATATATAATCAACATCGTTATAGGTTACAACAAACCATTAAATATTATGGGTGCAGCCAGTTTAAAAGATAACATGATATTCAGAATTAAAAGTATGACTAATCCTGATTGAATCATGTGTGCAACCATTATTTTTTATTACTAGACACTTCAAGCACTTTGCATTAAACCAAAGGCAAAATAATGTATTTCCCTCGGCGCTAAAGGGACTGAAGTGTTTTTTACGTTGTGAGGAGACATATTTTAAAGTGCAGAATTGATAGGCAAGGAAGATTTTTGGACTGAATAATACTAACATCCTTTTACTTTAGTCATGTATAACCTATATCTATATATACATTTAATTTTCCAACAGTAATTTTAATCTAAATATTTTTTTAATCATTACGTTTTCTAGGTTAGCATTCAGTTTGTCCATAAGGATTGAGACTGGAAATGGCAATTGGAGCAGACTTTTAAGGTAAGATTTAAACACTACTCATTCTTGCTTAAAAATTTGTGTAGTTTAAAAGTTTAAAATTTACCACTAATGCATTACTATGAAAAATTATAATTGTAATTCCTACGTCATTATTATTTTTGAGTAAATATTTTTTCAGTTCTTTTATATTTTATGACAAATTAATTAAAAAGTGTCTTATTTCTTTTTCAGGATGCCATTACTGTGGCTGCATGAAATAATTGTGTGATCTATTCTGTAAAAAGAAAAAAAAAGCAATTGAAAAATGTTAAATATGTTTTAAGAAAACAAATTGTAAAGATTCTCCAATTTCTACAAGAATGGAAGTTTGAATTTCTAATGATCTTAAAATTTAAATTTAGGAAAATTTCTTTTTATCCCTTGCATAAAATGGCTAGATCTTTTTATACTTACAAACCTCAGAGGGAATATTAACACTTCTAGTGGTTTAGAATGGAGGATCTAAAAAAAAAGAAAAAAAAAAAAACTTTTGTAAAATATTTCAATTTATTTTACAAGAAGCATAGTTAAAGAACATCTAGGGTGAAAATGAAAGAGTACTAAATGTTATATTGAAATTTGTTGATTTAAAAAAAAAAATCATATTCTTATTCCATTAAATTTTTGTTTTTGTTAAAAGACAGCAAGGGTGAAAAATTGTGTTTAATCCTTCAAAAAATTGTTATTTATATTTTTTTAAATGGAAATTAAAATTCTTTTTGATTAATTTTGCAATATTGATGATAAATTTAAGATGTAACATATAGCAAAATTTGTTTATATTTATTTACTTTCCATCGCAAACATGTGTCAAACGAAAGCCTATCACTTGAGGTATTCTGCCCAGTTGTAATGAAGTCCCAATTAGGGTCAAATTTGGGGAAAGGTGAGGTCATAATACTGTTGAACTAATCATACTGGAAGATTCTTCAGTGTAAGCAATATACTAGACATTTTTTAATCAACATAATTTATGATATATGTGTGAGGTTTTTTTTTTAATTATCAGATGTTTGCTAATTTTATTGACTATTATTTAGAGCTCTGTAAATAAAAAAAAAATGTAAACAAAGTTCTAAATAATAGATTTTTATCAGGGGAGGATCCTGGATTTTTGAAAAGAGAGAGGAGCATATTTCCATCAAAGTGAAGAAATTTTTTTCAGATGATATAAAACTTAAAAACGATGTATTTTCCAAACAAAGCCAGGCATACATCCTCTATGCCAACCCCCTTGAATCCACCACTGTTTACTGTGGGAGAAATTATTTGTCACTACTATTATTGAGTATATTCTCAAAAAATGATCAGGTGAAAGTGCAGGCATCTGATATTTTTGATGAACTGTATTTTGTAAAAATAAATGGAAAACAAATACATTGACAAGTGATTAAATAAACTGTTTTAAACAAAAATAACATGAGACTTTATGAACTAGTGTCTAAAGGTTTTGACAAAACTCATAGAATAGGAGGACATTCATTCACTTACATTGATACAATGATGACAGCCATCTTGGCAGCCAGGATAGCAGCTCTAAGGAAGATTGTCAATTCTTCAACCAATTCTGAGGCTTTACCAGGAAATATTTGTGGTAAGTTTAAATACTCCACAAACTTGATAGTAAAGGCATTAAAACAATTATTTTCTCGAGGATTCTTTTTCTATTATTGACATTGATTTTATCTTTACATAACATAAATTTGTTTTCAACATTGAAACCATAATCATTTGTTATTAGTTTATCCATCTACATTTGGTATCCAGTTTACAGATTGAAAGTTGATAATACAAAATTTTGAAAGAAATAAAGCATAATGATTGGCCAGGTTTTCATTGGTTAATGTAAGCGTGCATTCTGCATAACAGCACATGGCTCAGCAGGATAACAATTATTTTAATGTCCTTTGGTGCAGAAAAATAGACAACAAATACTGTCCATCGACAATTTGATTCTAAATTTAAAAGACATTAAAAAACAGCATTTATATATAACTCGAATAACACATAGCTGTGATGCTGATAAAGCAGATTGTCACCACTTGAAAAAACATTGTCAACTTTGGATTTGCATTGGTTGAAAATGTTATACTCTCATGGCTATGTGTTATTTATATGCTGTATTGTTAAAGAAATCTAACATGCTTGGATTGATCTGTAAAAGAAATATTTCAAACACTCCTTTTTTTTTTATTATTTGATTATAGGTTGATGTAATGTATTCATGGTGTTGAAGTAAAACTTGGGAGATCTGATACTGCTAACATTTTGGTAGGTATGAGTATATTTGATTTTACGGTTTTGCCAAAGTCTGCTTACAAGTCTATAGAAAATTTGTAATTCGAATAAAACTTTAATTGATGTTATGGTTAAAAAATGTCTCTTAATCTTTATTTCATCTTTATATTTTCTGCTGTAACTGTAATTGTAATTACAGTCCTTTTCAACTACTTTCTCTTATTCACTCTGTTAAAGTGATGTACTGAACAGTGGTGGATCCAGAACTTTTTATAATGGGGGAGCCCACTGACTGACCTAAGGGGGGCCGCTCCAGTCATGCTTCAGTGATTCCCTATATTATCAACCAAATTTTTCGTACAAAAGGGGGGCCGGGGCCCCCAGCCCCCCTGGATCCGCCTATGCTGAATGAGAGAATGGTTTTATGATAATAGAGTATTGTATTCACTGAAGTAAGGGAGGTAATCTACCATTTATTTGTCATGAAAAGGCTGTTAGAAAGATGAGATGTTTAATAGCTTTGCTTGAATGATTCAGTTTTGTATTTTTTCATTACAAATTTTCAAAGAATTCATTTCTTTTGTTTATATATTGAGAAAATATTTTGAGTAAATGTCAATGATAATGAACTAAACAATGCAAGTTTATCAAAGAGAAGCGAAAGATACCAAAGAGATATTCAAACTCATAAGGCAAAAACGAAATAGCCACAGTAGTATTATTCCAGTATGTCAATTTAAAATGAATTACAGCTTAATAGCTTCTGCATGTATCTGACACTATGTGTGATAGATACATAGCAGTCATAGTGATTTTAACACCTTAAAAATCAAAATTGGTATATAAAGATGGCTTTCCATTTTATCATAAATTTAGCTGCATGATGTCTATTGCAATATTTTTTGTAGTAATCAATAAATTTGAATAGAAAACAAGTTTTTTTTAATACAACAATATCTATCTATTTAAATAAAAAAAAATGCCACTCAAATATTTTAATCCCTAAAACATGACTTTAACATTACCTTATTCATATATTTTAACATTACTTAATTATTATGAATTGTCAACGAATGAAATATTATTTAAATTCTTTTACAGGTAAAAGTGTAACTGCTGCTGCCTTAGTGTGTTGTCAGTCCTGTGGACAATAATTATGGGTCAATCCTGTGGAAGATAATAATCATGCAAACCATATGATAAACTAGTGTTGTTTTGTTTTTACTATTATCATCCAAACCATATGATAAACTAGTGTTGTTTTGTTTTTACTATTATCGTCCAAACCATATGATAAACTTGTTTTGTTTTTACTATTATCATCCAAACCATATGATAAACTTGTTTTGTTTTTACTATTATCATCCAAACCATATGATAAACTTATTTTGTTTTTACTATTATCATCCAAACCATATGATAAACTATTGTTGTTTTGTTTTTACTATAATCCTTAAATGATTTATTCTCTATTCTTTTAACCCCATCCAGACCCTCATACTTATCATATTTAGTTGTCATAGATTATCTTCAGTATCAAATGGCACTGTGTATTTTTTTTGGGGGGTGGGGGTTGTCAAAATCAAATTTTAAGTGTCCCAATTGAAATGAATGGACTTGTGAAACAAGAAAGCAAAATTAAGCAGCTTCTATCATAATTTTATAATGTGAATGATAAGATGGTTTGCATATTTTTTAGTTTGTTTCACTGCTTGTAGTTGTCAGATGCCAGCATTGAAGATTCAAATTAAAATGAAAATTCATTATATGAAAGTGTTGAAAAAAGGCCAATAATACTCTTTTACTGTAAATTCAGAAATTAATGTGTGCATTTATTATTGTAAATTCTCGACATCTGGCAAAGGTGTGAAATTTAATTACTTTTTTTAGTTTAAACATATTTTATTTACTCAAAGTAAAATGGATTGGACACAAGTAAACCATATGAAGTCCGCTCCGAATAACAATAAATTACAATACAATATTGATGTGAGCATGCAATAATTCAGAATATACAATACTATAAGAGTCTATCTATTGAAAAAAAAAGATAAAACAATAATAACGGAAAAATTGGTAATGATGATGAGGATGATGACGTGAATGTACCGCAAATACACTATTAGTATCATATAACAAGAAATCTCTCAGACCTTTTAATAAACTCGAATACATGTTTAAATATATTGACGTTTTGTTCATACGAAAGGTTTGGATTACCAGATGTTAGTAACTTAACATTTAATATAAGGTCATCAGGGAGCCATCTTAGATTGTTCATCAGAATTTCTCTCTGGTGTGTATATAAAGAACAGTCGAAAATTACTACAATTGCAAAGATTTGATGAAGGAAATTTACTACTAAAATTATGAATGCGACTGTTTATTATTGTGAACCATACTGTCGCATTTTTCGCATTAATAAGAACATCACAATAATTTATGATTTTACAGTAATTATTATTGGAGTAATAGATTATGAGCCAACAGATAATATTGCTCTCTTTCATACATTTCGTAATGAAGAAATTTGACTTTAAAGTTATCTCCCTTCCTTAGAAAAAATTTAGTACTCGTTCCCTGCAGAATGCTCAATTATTACAATTAGATATGTAAATTGAACTGTACTACAATATACCCAATCAGATTTAGTATTAGAAAAGGATAGAAGTGCAAAAAGATTAAGAGTCTTTGCAAAATAACAAAACTTGGGGTTTAGATGGAAAAAATAAAAGGCAATTATATTTTCTAGGTGATAAGTTTATTGCACATATTTAGAAGTGAAGTTTATTTAAATCACTCTAGGAAATGGGTCAAAAACACCTCAAATAAACAAATTTAGTATGTTTTTACCTTTTTATTGTAGCTCGTACAATATTTTTGTTTGTTTAAGATTTCTTTTATATTGTTTGAAATGCTGTTTTTAAAAGAACAAGACAAACTCTGGATTCATGTTTTTTGTTGTTGAATTCTATAAATTCTTATACATTTAGTATTAAGTTATTATTGATATATATATATTAATTATTTCTTTAATATTTATAATGATTTTTGCTTTTGAAGCAAATTGTTTTGTTTCATTTAGGTATTGTGTAATGTAATGCATTATAATGGTATTTGATGAATACATTGATTGGTAAATAAAATTTGTCTTATTTGACTCTTGATGAAAATTGAAGGGGGAAGAGGTTTCTTTTGTAAGGGATATGCAACTATTCTGCCCATGATATTCATATAGCTTACTCAGGTGAACAGGGAATTTTGAAATACCTTCTTGTTTCTAGAAATTAAAGCATCACAATCCATAACACAATCTGTATGAAAGTTATTTTAGACTTCAAGCAATAAAGCATTGAAGTACCATCATGCCAAAGACCTTAGGGAGAACATTTGATATGTGACGGGTGATTTTTATTTCCATCACATTGTGTCTATCCTCATCATTCTTCAATTTTGTAGAAATTTTCTCAACCTCAGGCAACATGGGATTATTGCCATGTCTGTCTGTGTAGGTTGTGACTGGTTTAGAACTAAGAATGCTTCAAAGGAAATTAATTTACTTGGTATAATTGTTGCCCATCACCTCAGGTGGGTGTTGTTAGAAAGTTATCTGCAAGGTCAAGGTCGCAATAGTTTTTTAACTATTGAAGTCCCACTCAGAACTTTTGAAATCTTTGCAGGATATGAGATGAGATCAGTTTGGGACCTTTACTTGGTATGATTCATGCCTTCCATGCCAGAGGGAGTGCATAAAATAAAGTTTGGAATGGTTATTTGCAAGGTCAAGGTCACGACCATAATTTCAAATACAGCTAAAGTGTCTCACACTCACAATGTTTGATTGCTTTGAAGGATATTAATGATAAAATGCTTGCCCACCACCAAAGGGTGAATTAATTGGTTGGAATGTTTGTCTACAAATTAAAGTTCAATAGGTTTTATATTATTTAAGATAAATACAAGGGACATAAAATATCTTTTTGTGAACTTCGCAGTAGTCCGACACAGGGATAAAAACATTATTCAACACTTTATCCTACATTCTGTTGATACCTATGTTTTGGCATTGCACAATATCATTTTTCTCTCGAGACTTTTAATGTCCTCTTTACACTAAATCCATTGGATGTAGGATGTGTACTTATTGATATTTGAGTCTTATATACATAATTGTTTTATTATTATTGGCCTTGAATTAGCTTTTAGTAACTTCGAGTACTCTCAGATCTCAACTGTGTGTTTTGGGTGTGCCAAGTGCACTATTCTCATCACTTGTCGTCTGTTAACGTCTACAAAAATCTTCTCTGAAATTGCTGGACAAAATTTTACCAAACTCTACCACAATCATCATTTGGGTATATTTAGTTCAAAAACAATGTGTCCGATGACCCCTGCCTGCCAACCAACATGACTAAAAATGTAACATAAATTTTCTCTTATCTTGAAAAATACTAGACATAGAGAGAACCTGACGGGCAGAAATGTTCAGAATGTTGAAATCTCCATACTGTCACATCAACACTGTCAGACGACTTCTTATTAGAGTTATTGCCCTTTAATGACGATTTTTACTAATTATTTGCGTTTTTGCCTACTATTTTGAAAATTATAATAGATAGATACAAATTTTAGATAGCACATATGATCAGCAAGACAATATCTACACATACGTAAACATGGCTGAAATTGTTAGTTGATTCTTTATTGGAGTTATTGCCCTTTAATGACGATTTTTACCAATATTTTTTATGTTATTGCCTATTGATTTGAAACTATAATAGAGAGAAACTTTAAATAGCAAAAATGATCCACAAGGCAATATCTACAATTAAGTTGATGTTCAACACTTTATATAGGAGTTAGTGCCCTTAAATGACATTTTTGCCTATTATAAAATAAAAAAGACATTTTTAAAGCAAATCAAGCTCTGCAAATAGGTCACTTGTCTTAAAATCTAGGAGTTATTCATAAATGACCAGTCATGAATTATATTCTTGTCTACAATGTTGGAGAGTGTACATTGTTGGAGATGAACAAAGGCCTAGGTGAGCAATACAAGCCTTTAGTTGTTAGTTGTTTTTGTTCTATGTATCGATCTGATGGGCGAGGGTTGAGAGCCCGCAAACATGTTTTAACCCCGCCACATTCTGTATGTGCCTGTCCCAAGTCAAAAGCCTATAGTTCAGTGATTGACATTTGTTGCTCTATATCATATTTGTTTTTCGTTTGTTTTGTTCAATCCGTAAAGGCCATTAGTTTTCTCGTTTGAATTGTTAATATTTGTCATTTCAGGGCCTTTTATAGCTTGCTATCTGGTATTGATTTTGCTCATTGTTGAAGGCTGTATCGACAGGTGACTTATAGGTGCGAACTTCTACATCATTTGGTCTCGGGTGGAGAGTTGTCTCATTGGCAATCATTACACATCTTCTAAGGGAGCTACCATTTGATTTTTATGGGGGGCTAGGATGAAAAATTTTGTCTTGCATTTTTTTTTAGTTGTAATCTCTTTTTTTATTAGTTTATCCTTACTTTTTTACATAAATTGTCATCCTGTTTTTTTTTTGCGAAGTTGCTCATCCTGCCTTTTTTTTTAACTCAAAACTCCTTTCCTGCCTTTTTTTTCAAATTTCATCCTAGCCCCCATAAAAATCAAATGGTAGCTCCCTTATTTGTATATCTATATTTTGAAGATACAAGTGTGGACACAGATCAGTGTGGATAGTAATAGTTTGGTTTGATTCATGGTACTTTGTGACTTTCATACTGAAGTTTGCAAGATATGCTTTATACAAATAGTAATATTAAGGAGGTATTACTATATTTGTTCTCTTTTTTAGCAGAACTTACAGATATTTTTTATTGAATTTGTAGGCTTATCTACAATGTTTGTTTAGTATGGTGTTCACCACCCTAGTAGCATTTGTGCATGCTTTGGTTTGAATGTCTTTCTCATTGGGTCTACTGAAAAAGATGGAGTCAAATTGATGACAATACTTCACATAATAGTCCACTCTATTTTAGTGCCATCTGTGAGCATGTTTTGTGCCTAGACCCACAAGGCTTTTTGTTTATTTCTAGAAGTCAAATAAGATAAATCATGTAAAGTAAAAGAAATTTTATATATTTTTACTTAATTTAAAATGGAAAAGATAGTGCAGAATTTCATAGTTAAAGTTAAAAGAATTACAACACTGATCTAATTTTATGTGAAAAATCAACACTTGTTCTCCTTTTTCATTTACTCTTTCATTCCAGAAGTTTGTTATGTATTTATGTTTTATAAATAACAAACTTGTTGCATAAAAGTGTCAAATAATGAAAGAAGGAAGTATGCAACTGTAAATTTGAGAAAAAAATACATTAGACAACAGTAGTTGTTATTTCTATAACAAAATTTTATTATTTTACCAACTAGTTTTAATGTTCAACAATGTAAGATAAATTCTTAGTCTGTTTAAGCCTTGTGAGTTTCGTCCCTTTACATGGATTTAAAACAATTACCATTTGTACGTGGGACTCTTCAGTAGGCAGTACAGATGGTTAGAAAAACGGGTTAAACACATAGAAACATATTGCATTTTGATAGTAGTTTTCTGGTAAATAAATATTTGAATCTGGTAGAATTTTTTTTTATAGTTCAAAATGAAATAAACTGTTGAAACAGAGATATCTCTTGCCTTTTTGTTATACAAATAGTATAATGCAACTGTTGAATTCAAAATGGCAATTTTCAAACATGTAAACTATGCATAACATTCAGTCGATGAACCATGACTGAAGGTTCAGGGCCAAATAACATGATGTGACAAAATGATAATTCCTATAAAACATGCATACCAAATACCATTGACTGGTGGCGGATCCAGGAGGGTTCCGGGGGTTG